GATCTGAGTTTGTTTTACACTGCGATAATCTTCCGTTAGTAAAAATTATACAGAATACAAGATCACCACCAAATGCTCGAGTTGAAAGAATGCTACTAGGATCCAGCCTTACAGTTTTAAAATTGAACATCAACAAGGAGTCACAAATCCGTCTGACTATCTTTCAAGACATCCATTTGAAGAAATTTGTGAATCCGAGCCTAAAAATGACAAGATAGATGACTATGTTCATTTTTGTATAAAAGTGCACTTCCTAAAGCTATGACTATAGAAATGGTTCAAGAAGCTACAAGACAAGATCCTGATTTTCAAGCTATCAAAGAAGCAATAATTTTAAAAAAACAAACCTTTTGGAAACTACCAGAACTTGTGCCATATTCTAAACTGAAAGATGAATTAATTTATCAAGATGACATCATTTTAAGAGGACATCAAATAGTCTTGCCAACTACATTAAGGAGACAAGCTATTGAACTAGCACACAGAGGACACTTAGGTATCACCAAAACCAAACAATCACTGAGAACAAAAGTTTGGTTTCCAAATCTAGATGCCATGACAGAAGTATTCATAAAGTCATGTCCTCCATGTCAAGCGGTCACCAAAACCAATCTGAGAAATCCTATTATATCCGGCACATTACCAGAGTATCCATTCCAAGCCTTAGATGTTGATTATGCAGGACCTTTTCCCAACAAAAAGTATGTTTTTATTGCTGTCGACGAGTACTCAAGGTACCCTATTGTAGAAGTAGTTAACTCAACATCTTTCTCAAATCTGCAACCAGTACTTCAAAACATATTTACCACTTTTGGTTTTCCGAAGACTTTTAAATCCGACAATGGTCCACCTTTCAATGCCTCTGAATTGACAACATTTTTAAATAACTATGGTATTCAGCATAAAAAAACAACACCATACTGGCCAGAAGCTAATGGAATGGCCGAGAGATTAGTAAAAACAGTTAAGAAATCGCTTCTCTGCTCCCATTTGGAACAAGGTAATTTTGAGCACAAAATAAATGAATTTCTCATAAATTATAGAAGCACACCACATTCAACGACTGAGGAATCTCCATTTGAATTGTTCTTCAGCCGAAAAATGAACAATTTCTTACCTATGTTACCAATAATGACACTGTCAACCGACCGAAATAAAGTAAAAGAGTCTGACGAAAGAAACAAATTAAAGCAGAAGAGATATGCTGATATTAAGAGAAAAACACAATACCACACTTTTATGGAAGGTGATTTAGTGCTTTGCAAACAGCCTAAAAGAAATAGTTTAACACCATATTTTGACCCTAAGCCTTATTCAGTAATAAAAATTATGGGCTCCACTATCGAAGCTAAACGAGGTGAGAAAATTATCAAAAGAAACTCTTCGTTTTTCAAGAAGTTTTTCCAACCTGCTGGCTTGATGACAACGTGTGACAGACATTTACAAGCAGCTCAGCAGCCATCAGTAGATACAAACAGCCAGAAAAATAAAAGCAAATATTTTTATTGGAAGTTTACTGTTGATGGTGTCACCTCAGACTTAGCAAATCTTCCATTAACTCCACAAAGTATGGAAGTCCTCCAAGAGAGTCAATCTACATGCAGCTTTGATTACGATATAGATGACTACAACATAGCCAGATTATTCGAAGATTCTATAAATCCTATAGAAATTGTTGAGATGTCAGCAGACAGCTCCATGAGTTCAGAAGAATTTTTGGTTTCAGTGACTGATGCTGATGCTTCAGAAGATTGTAATCAAAGACCTCACAGAGACTGTAGAAGGCCAAATTATCTTACTGATTATATCGAGTGAATGTTAAATTTATTTATCATTATAAGTAAGGTATGTTTTGAGCTCTTATAATTTTTTTTGTAACAAGAATTTAATTTTGTTTTGTAAACTGTGAGTAGTTTAAAGTTTTTCAAGCATTGGATAAACTTTTCTTTCAAAGCTAGGGGAGAATGTAGTATTCTATTTTGATTTGTAGTATTCTATTTTGATTTTTAAGGTCACGGTTCTGATATTTGAAAAGGAGAGGTGAAGTTGAAAAATAAAAGAAAACACAGCACGTTTTTCATTTTCCTGAGTTTTAATTAGTTTTATTTAAAACAATAAATTAACAAACAAACAATTAATTAATGCTATTAACAACATCTTAAATAGTACATGTTCCATTAAAGAAAAGAAAATTTTATTTGTCCACCCTGTATATAGTAGAGTGACAACAAAAACAATACAAAAAAGTTGTAGATAATTTTATTAGAAACAACTTTTGTATTTAAGTTTTTTTTACAGCCCTTCTAGATTTCGAGATAAGGTATAGGCCCCTCTTAAACGGGCCACCCTGTATATGAAATTGTTTACCCCCATGGATGTATCTGGTAATCGGGTTCTTTCAAAGCATTGTATAATTTGTGTATGTTTACTTGATCATAAGCAGCTAGCTGTTATGTCCAAAAAAACCATAAGTGTATCAATTTTTTGATGATTTTTTTTTTGAATTTTTACTGTTAGGTCTTCATCCTCTTCCAATTGGAAATTTTCATGTCTTCTGTCCATTGTGAAATCTGCGTCTGTTTACCTGGTTCAGGTTTTTAATTATCTCTATTGCTATTTCCCGCTCTGGAGATTTATTTCTTGATTCAATTTTCTCTTTTGAGAATATTCTTATTGTTGTCCAAATTTTCTGTAATGGTGTATTTTTATTTATATTTCCACTTTGAATTTCCTTCTTGTCTGAGCCCTGACCCTCTTTACTTGGAGAAAATTTTCCATTGAATATTCATATTTAAGTTTATTCATAGCAGTTTTCCTTTTATTTAAAAACTCCTGACATTCTTCATCCCACCATGGGACCGGATCTTTATGCTTTCTTTGTTCAGCTTTTATTCCGGTATTGTTTTTCCAGCAACTTCTAGTATATCTTAGAATATTATTTATGAGGGTTCCATTATAGTTTGCCACTGAACTTCCCCATAGAGGGGTATTGGCCGTTGAAATCTCCTAGTATTAATTTTGGTTCAGGTATATTATCAATGAGATCCTTGATCCAGTTGTCTCTGATTTTTGTTGATGGTGGGACATAGAAATTGAGGATTGGCTTATCATACTCCTTATATTCTACGGGATCCTTCATCAAACATGCAATAACTCCCTTATCTACCAGCTTGTCTATCTTGTCTACAAATTTTGTAATTTCCAATCCTTAAATTGTAATCTTTTTTCAGTCATGTTTTACTCAAAATTATAATTTCAGCTTTTTGTTCTTTTATTAAAATTTTCAAGTTGTCTGTTTGAATTGATTGATCTTGTATTCCATTGTAGAATTTTCATTAGGTACTCTATCTGGTGATTTATTGTGTTTTTCTAGTTTTCACCATTCATCCTGCTCCATTCGATTTTCCCAATGGGTATCTTCAGTTAAATCTTTTATGTAGTTATTTGTTGAGTTCCCATCTTTATATATTCAATTTCTCCTTTTTCATTTGTTATTCTACGATTAAATCTCTTCATGTTTAATACTTGAGACATTAGAATTTTTAATCATTTCTTCTGATTCAAATTCTTCACATATTCCTTTACAGGCGACCAGGTATTCAGGAATGTACATAGTATATTCTCTATCTATTAACTGTCGATTCTCAAGTAAGTTGTTTGCTGCCCTTGGCGTTTCTATAATAACTTCATTTCCTTTTTTCATTGGTCTGTTTACATTTTCTAATTTCAAATCATATATTATCTTAGCAAGAGCCATTGGATGTAGATACCCTATATTGTTTCCCTGGGGACCCTGAACTACTACCTGAAATGGGCCTAATGGATTATCGTCATTTATATTGCTTCTTTAATTTATATTCTGATTTAATATTCTTTGAAGTAATTTCCTCATTGCTATTTACATTAATGTCCAAAGGGGGGTCATCCGACCCCCTCGATTTTGCCCCTATGGGTTTTGAAATAGGCTTAAATTTTTCCTAACCTATGCTATTGTGTATGACAAAAGGTACCTATAATTTGATGTTTCTTGCCCATTCTCTCTATAGTATTTATTAATTTAACATATGAGGTAACACCGAGGGTGACACTTACACAGGATTGATTAGTATTTTCACGGTGAATGAACAATTTCAGTATTCGCACGTGCAGTTTAAACTATTACAACGTACGATAAGATAGGTATATCTCAATAGAGCGAATCAAACTCAGTGGTTCAGCCTAGAAATAGGGGAATTAAGTTAACACAAGGAAATAAAAGGACACAAAAGAAAACTGGAAACTAAATACCTACAATAGAAATGTACAGAGTCGATGTTAGAATGAGCGAAATAAATTAATCAATAAATCAATACTACTGGAAAAGATTCACAAGAAAATCCAATCTCATATTGATCTCAATCATCAGAGAAAAACGTCCTCAACACAGCTAAATAGGTGTCATATTGTCATTGTTTACTGGGGAAATAAGTTTAAACTTTTTATATTTTATTATTGTCATTTGTAAAGATACCTAATAATTATCATTTATACCTATTATTTATACATCGTTACGGTAAACTTTGGTTACGGTATGATAAGTAGAATCTTATCTGTCATGTTTTAATTATTAGATTAGCTAACTTTTTAATTGATTGCATTAAAAATAAAATTTACGACAACATAATCCAGTGTATAATTTGGTCCTATTAACTCATTTCTCCTTTTAAATTTAAATAAGATTATCATTACGGCATTACCTAAACGATTTTCCGTGTATTATTCAATATTCAATCATACGGCATATCGATATACATTAGAATATATCTACTTACACATCTCGAAACTCGAAGAAAAAATAATATAGAAATCAAACAAAAAGCTTTGCTAGTTCATTTTCTATTTGTTAGATATTGTAACTATTTTTTTAAATTTTATTATGCGATTTGTTTGTAGGTACTGATTTTATTTACTTGTTTAATCTTTTCTATCGATACATTATAATAAACATATTGTAACATGACGGCATTGACTCCATGCTGTAAGGTAGAAGATGAACCCATGCGTAGATGGCTGGAAAAGAAATCTAAAATTCAAAAATGAATACCACATTTTTTAATAAACAAAAATTTTATTACTCAAAACTATATAAAAATACAAACAAATTATTGTTGAACGGTTGTTTCTACTCCCTTCCGTGGAACAATTTTTGTTATTAGATGATCAGCAATTTTGAAGCTCCTCAACCCATCTTCGAATGGGAAACTCACATTAGTATTTGCACATTTAGTTGTTATAATAGAACAATCCAGAGACTTAGCGGAAAGATAAACGCTACAATTCTCGCAGGATTCCAAAAGCACTTCCGGAATTGTTTCAAAACAGTGCAGATTACAATCCTTACTGTTAAAAATATTTAACTTTGATGCATTTCTAAATAATATTGTCACTCGATTACAATTGTCCAGGTTTATAATGTTGGACTTTTGGCTTTGTGCCACTATAGTGCTGCCTTTACAGCTGCGAATGGAAATGTCGATATCTTTTGTTGAATTCACAATTAAGTTTCCGTGACTGTTTTGTTGATTTTCGATTAACCACTTATTATCGTGCTCTTCAAATACTCTAGGATACACAGAAACTGTTGGTGTAAGGTCAGTAGTTGTTGTCGAGTTTTCAGTAATTGGTAAAAGCTTGCTAACTGATGGGACTTGTTGATGTCCTGCTCTAGTTAGTGAACCTTCAGCAACAGGATATTCGTCAATCAAAGGACGTTCTGCTGTTTGTAAAAAATGTTGTTGAAATACGTTCTGTAAAGTACGCCCTTGAATTCTATGAGTGATTAAAGATGATTGGTAAATATTTGGTGAATATTCAGCAGTTGGTGATTGATGATTTGTTTGCCTTAAGGGAGCTCGACGTTCTTCATTCATGTGACTAATAAAAGAATCTCCTCCATGCATCAGAGATTCACGTTCCTGACCGCTCCAAACTATGCCATTTTTAAAAAAGTTTAAAATAAAAATTGAGAGTTCTTCGTAAGTTTCGTTCCACCACTTGAACCATTCTACGTGAGTCCTTCCCAAAGTTTCAATTTCGTACATGGCTTTTTGTTTATCAAATACAATAAATCTATTTAGCATTTTAAGAAATTTTTCTTCGTCAGATTCATTGACCCATTCAAATATTTTAACACTGCTGCTTACTAAAATAGTTTGGAAAACGTGATTTCTTGCATCGCGTTCAATCGTTTTTACATGGCCAATGCCTCGTAAAATAGGCTCTATTAAGTTTTGTTCGGTCGTTTGATTTAGTGGTTTTTGGAACTTTTCCAGATGTTTTACTAGCTTTAAAGTTTCTTTGAAAACATCATCGACGTATTGACTTTGTTCGAAGATATGTCCACCGATTATATGTGAATATTTCTGATACTGCGTAAACACATTTATGTAGATACTGAAAAGGCCATTATAGGCCATGTTTACTTGATTAGATGTTTTCGAGCTTGATTTAGTTCTGCTTGAGATAGATTTTCAATTTTTAATGTCACATTTTGTTAGTTTATAATTATGTCTAATTGACAATTAGTAGTTTTCAAATCCTTTAAGGAAGGTATACATACAAAAAAAAATGTTCAAGCCAAGTAGATAGTGTTGGTAAAAAAAAAACTATCAAAGCTGGACAATGATAAGAGCATTACAAACACATGATAATGTATAAAATAAGACAAGAATATCTCAAGGAATCCTAAAGATTGTTCAAGGCAAGGAAGTTGCAATTCGAAACTGTAAAAAGAGCTATTCACAGTTGAAATCGAATGAAGCTATTGGAAGAGAGGGACTAGGTATTAGAACAGTCAAAAATCAACATCACATCATTCCAAAGTAAAGTGCAGTAGGTAGTCATTCCCTAGAAGAAAAAAAAATGTATAAATGTTATAAATACCCGAGTAAATACATATTCAAAATGTGCTATTTTCAACACGATGCAATAGTATACCCACAATCTAATTTCTGTTTCAGGTGAAAAATGGAATCCCACTTGGAAGATCGTGACAGGGTAGGAGTTGCAGACGCTGTGCTACTGGAAGATTTCACCAACGAAAATGCCTTTGTTAATAATTTGCAAAAGAGATTCGATGAGGATGTGATATATGTAAGCCTATTAGAATCTAAAAACTGGTTTTTTTTAATGTCTGTAAGTATTTTTTAGACTTACATAGGTCCAGTCCTTGTCAGTGTAAATCCATACAAGGAATTAAACATATACACTACGGCGGATGTTAAAGCATACGAAAAAAAGAACTTTTTTGAGGTACCGCCACATGTGTAAGTAGGCAACTGCAAAGCTTTTGAAAGTTTAGTAAATATTATTTTCCATTAGCTATGCCATCACAGATACAGCTTATCGGTCACTAAGGGAGGAGAATCGCGAACAATGCATATTGATTTCAGGTAATATAATCCTTCGCTAATTTCAGGACAAACAATAATAAATAAAATTCGCAGGCGAATCTGGCTCAGGAAAAACAGAAGCATCCAAGAAAGTCCTCCAATATATTTCCGAAGTAACAGAAAGGAAGGGAGAAATTGAAAAAGTTAAAAATAAGCTTCTAGATTCCAATCCTGTTCTGGAAGCTTTTGGTAATGCTAAAACTAATAAAAATGATAACTCTAGCCGTTTTGGAAAATTTATGGATATACAATTTAATTTTGAAGTAAGTATTTATTTACCTTCTCAATAAGTTCTATAATGTAATAATTCAAGGGTAATCCAGTTGGTGGAAATATTTTAAACTATCTCCTTGAAAAATCGAGAGTTATCAGCCAAGCTCCTGGTGAGAGAAACTTTCATATTTTCTACCAGTTATTAAAAGGAGCAACCCAAGAAACACTTTCAAAATTGTCGCTAAAAAGGGACCTTGGAGCTTACTACTACTTATCAAATGGAGTAAGTATAACAACTCAGTTTCCCATTGAAATTATCAATATGTAATTTTTCAAGGAACGCTCTCAAGATTTTAACAGCAACGATTTGGCCAATTTCAATGAAATTCAACGGGCACTTTCTACGCTTGAATTCAGCCAAGAAGTGCAAAACGATATATTCACTATAATATCTGCCATTTTGCATTTGGGAAACGTCGGTTTTTCAGAGGCAGAGGGCAAGGCAGTTATACTTAAGCCCGATTTAGTTGAAACCATTGCGAAAGTAAGTAAATAGGAATGTATAGGAAAATGTTCATAAAAAATAGAATTCCTTCAGTTGAGTTAGTCAAAATAACAAATGTCTGTATGTTTGAGGTGGATTTATAATATTACCTTGCATTTTTTGGGACTTACACCTCAATTGAAATTATTACCAGAAGTTTCTTGATCTTGATAATAATTTCAATTGAGGTGTAAGTCCCAAAAAATGCAAGGTAATATCACAGCTGTAATATTAGTCAAAATAGTCAGATGTCCATTATGTGCAAACTTAGGTACCTACTCCTGTTGATCATTTCTCAAATTATTTACGTGAAACGAAAGATACTTCAATTCAATGCAGTACAATAATACTCAACTTTATGTGGTAAGGTGAATAATTTTTGTTCTTTTTCCATAGCTTCTAAACTGTGATAGCGAAAAACTACAACTTTCACTAGTCCAAAGAACTATTGAAACCATAAGAGACGTGGTTACGACCCCTCTGGACAGAGAGTTAGCTATTTATGCCAGAGATGCATTGGCAAAGGCTGTGTACGATAGACTATTTACTTGGCTAGTGAAACGGATTAATAGGTCTCTACAACCTAGTGATACAAGACGAATCAGCGTTATGGGCATTTTGGATATTTACGGATTTGAAATTTTCCAGAAAAATAGGTAAGCAAACATGTTCATCGTCACAAAATTTATTTCAAGTTTATTTGTTTTAGATTTGAACAATTGTGTATCAATTTTTGTAACGAGAAACTGCAGCAATTATTTATCGAATTAACACTTCGATCGGAACAAGATGAATATCAAAAGGAAGGTATCCAATGGGAACATGTCACCTATTTTGATAATAAAATTATCTGTGATTTGATTGAAGAGAAGCATAAAGGTAAATTATATCCAAATTAGTTCATTGGTTGATCAATCATTATTATTTCAGGTTTGATCGCATTTATGGATGAAGAATGTCTCAGACCAGGTGATCCCAATGACCTGACTTTATTGGCAAAACTTGACAAGCAATTAAGCTATCATAACCATTACATAAGCCATAAGAAGGCAGACGTGAAGCTTCAAAAAATTATGGGCAGAGATGTGAGTATTTTTGACACAAAAAATACAGTTTTCGAAAAATTATTTTGGATTTTTGGGTTTTTGCGGGTTATTGTGATAACTTTTGTGTTTTTATAGGCTTTCTATGTTTACTAAACTAGGCACAATTATTCATTTGTATATTTGTTTCAATAGTTTTGCACCTGAGAAGCTTCAAACTCGAATTTATCAAACATTGAAAATTTTCCAAAATAACACTGAGACAGTTTTTGCGTCAGAGCTCCTTTAATTTTCATTCGTTTTCAACGCAATTAAGTCTAATTAAAGCCAATTAAGTTCTCCACAAAACTTGTTAATTAAGATTCTAATTTAGGTCCAACAGTTTTGCACCTAAGAAGGTTCAAAATTGAAATTATCGAACATTGAAAATTTTCCAAAAATGACACTGAGACAGTTTTTGTCTCAGAGCTCATTTAATTTTCATTCAATTTAGTGCAATTACGCTCCTAATTAAAGACAATTAGGTTCTCTACAAACCTCTTAATCAAGATTTTAATTTAGATTCAAAAATTTTGTAGCTGAGAAATTTCAAAATTGAAATTATCGAACATTGAAAATTTTCCAAAAATTACACTGAGACAGTTTTTGCCTCACAGCTCATTCAATTTTCATCCGATTTCAACGCAATTAGGCTCTAATTGAAGCTAACTAAATTCTTCACAAACCTGATAATTAAGATTTTAATTTAGTTTCAATTATTTATTTACTAGTTCATTAGTACAAATTCTTTAGTATCGTTACTGTATAGTTATCTTGAGAAAAGTTCCCTTTGATTTTTATTTTTGTATCTAAGAAACTACCTTGTAATAATCAGAGTTATAAATACTATATTTTATTATCATCTTACAACAACTAACTTCAATCTAACATACACATCATAAATCTATAGGTACTGGTATTCAGGCAGATATCACACCATCTCTCCTGTAGGCTTCGAAAATCTAAACAGCATCATTTTCTTCCGCTTTTTCCTCCGAAAAAGGTCGTAAGAAAATCCTATTTCTTTTGAGTATTCTTCCGCTCGGAGTTTTTATTGTATATCATCTATTTCTCCCCCTTTCTATTATTATTCTTCTTCATCTTTTGGAAATAAGCAGGTCTTGTATTCTAACCTTACTTCCAACACGGATCTCAGGTAAATCTTTAGCATTTCTATCATAATAACTTTTAATATAATTTGTAAATTTTCGAATCGTATTCATTTTTCATTATTCTTTCCCACTCTGGAGTAAATAATTTAGAATGTGCTGGAACCAAAGAACGAATGGGATGACCATATAAAATTTCTGCAGGTGATTTACCCTCAGCTTTAGGTGTATTTCTCCACTCTAAAAGTCCTGAAGCATATTTCTCTTCATCCCAATATCCCCCTTCGAAACATTTTTTTAATAATATTTTCATGGCTTAACAGCTGCCTCTACATGATCATTACTTTTCGGATAATATGGAGTGGATGGACATCCATTGATATTCCATTTTTTTAAGAAACTTTTGAATTCTGATGATACAAATTGTGGACCATTGTAGGATCGAAGTCGAATTGGAACTCCAGCAGCCGAAAAAAATATTCTTAGATCACTTATAATTTTGCTTGAACTTGGCATTCCATTATGATACTGACAAACAAAAGGCCAACCTAGAGGCGGTCCACGTAAACCATATAATGTTTTCCAGCACAGCTGAAAATATCAGCTGAAAAATCTTGGAATGGGAAATTTGGTAAAGGATCTACTATATTATAAGTTTCTTTACATTGTGATGATCTTCTTTCTTAACACTTCTCACAATTTTCTATAATGTTTTTTATATCATTCGATATTTGGGGCCAGTGAACTGTTTGACGTGCTCTTTTTTTTGTTCTTTCAATACCTTGATGAGAATCATGCAGACGTTCTAAAACTAATTTTCTTTCGTTTTTTGGTATCACAATTTCATTTCCTTTTAAAGCCAAATTGTTTTCGACACCTAATTCATCTTTATTATTCCAGTAAGGCCTAAGTTCTTCTTTTAATACATTTTTTACTTCAGGAAAACCATATTTAATTTGTTCTAATAATTTTTGGTAATGTTCGTCATTTCTCGCTATTTGCTCTATTTAATCTAATATTGGATCCTTGAAATGTGAAACCTGGACACTTTCTTCGGAATTATCAACCAAGCCAATTTGAAATCGATCGAATAAATGAAACTATGTACATTTGTGCTTCTTCCGCCAATAAATCGTCTCCACTAGGAATCAGTACTGGATTTCTTGAAAGGGCATCAGGAATTTGATGATCTTTTCCTTTCATCCATACTCAATCTCAATCGTCTCTCTACACAGTCCATTTCTGAACATAGGCGTCCCTCATATGGCACCATCTCTTTCTGTCTTGCGCTTCTCCTATCCAATTGAACCCTGCTGTTAATTTTATGTCGTTTGTCCAGCGCATTGGTGGTCGTCCTCTATTGCGTCGTTCTAGGTATGGTCTCCAGTGCAACCGTCTATTATTCCAACTCGCGTCTGTACATCTGGCTATGTGTTCGGAATAGTTCAATTTTTGATTGGCAATGGTTTCGATCACATCTCTGACTTTCGTAGTGTTTCTAATCCATTCGTTGGTTTTTCTGTCCCAGCATTTGTCTTTCCATGTATCTTTGGATTATGGCCATTTTAGATATTATTAGTTTTGGTTATGTCCATATTTGACATCCATAGGTTAGTAGAGGAAGAATGCACTGATCAAAGAGTCTTGATCTCAATCTTAGGAGGATATTCTGATTTTTTAGAATATAACCTTCCAAATGCCGTCCATGCTAGTCTTCTTCTGAGGTATATCTCGGTGGTCTGGTTTTCTTTCCCCATTTTCAGTTGGTGCCCAAGATACGTATAGCTTTCTACTTTTTCAATGGGTTGGTCCTTAATAATTATTTGGGTATCTTCTTTACACATTATTTTGGTCTTATTTAAGTTCATTTGTTGTCCGATCTTGCCTAGCTCTGCGTCCACTTCAAGCAGCATTTCCCGTAGGTCATCCGGATTCTCCGCAATAAGCACCACATCATCGGCAAACCTCAAGTGGGTAAGTCGTTCTCCATTGATTAGTAAACCCTTCTGTTCCCATTGAACACGTCGAAATGCTCCCTCAAGAGCCAAAATAAATAGTTTAGACTTCGCATATCTTCTAAATGTCATCTATTGAAGCAGTGTCTGGAAGCAATCTACATTTTCTTCTGTTTCTATTAGATGATCTGTTAAATATCTTTGGTAACAATTTGCACATGGATCGAACTGGAAGAGTTTGATTTACTCTCTGTAAAATGACATAAATGATTCTCCCTCTTCCTCTTTCCTTGACATGAATTGGGCTCTTCTTATCTTCCCATTTTCCTTCTTCCTAAAATAATTTTCAATGTTATCCAGTATATCTGTGCTTGTTGTATTTTTAAATTCTATGTTTAGCACAAGTCGTATGATATCGGATACTTCTTGTGTGAAAAAAAGAAGTTAAAAGTGCTACACATTGTTGGTTAGATGTATTTTTCATGTCATGAAAAAATGAATAATTTTCGTACTTTCTACGCCAGTCCAAAAACTGTCCCAAAGTCAAATTTTCTACTAATTTTTCAGGATCTGGTATAGCATTTGTGAGATGATGGAAGTTTTGTAATGAACTGTTTTCTGGCATGTGAGCAAAACGCCTCAAGTACTCTATTCAATTAGTTAGATGCAGGGCCGGCTCCAGGACCCGTGCAGCCTGTGCCCCTGCACGGGGCGGCAAAATCGAAGGGCGGAAAAAATCTCGGGGAAAATTGTTGCCTGCCCTGTAAAAAAATTAAATAAAACATAACATGTTCGTTTTCTGAACTCTGATTATTTCCAAACGATCTGAGCACAGTTCTAATGACTGAATAAGTACACGCAACTTGTTCTGCGCAGTTCCATGATGGTTAGCGAACAGTTTGAAAAATGAGAACCCGAAAACACCTATCGCTAGTAGTTTCACGCGTCCGCAAGCGATTTGCAGGTTATGTTTTGGTGTTATTAGGTTTGTTCGGACTTAGTTCAGAATCAGTTCTGAATTGAACTTCGCTTGCGCATTTGTTCATATCGAACATAAATTAAAAAATGCGCATGCGCAGCTCAATTCAGAACTGATTCTGAACTAAGTCCAAACAAACCTAATTGTTATTTGAGAATTGCCGATAATTGTAGGTTGTATTAAAATTGTAGGTATAGTAATAAAATTATTCCATTAAAAACTTAAAAATAATCAAAATATAATATATATCATACAGACTTGTGCGGTACTCGGGTAAAGGTAAAAGTACTCTTCAATTTTACTCTAAGTAGGTACATTTTGAGTTACTCGGTATTCAGGCCACGATACTTTGTGAATCATTTAATTGTACCTAATTTGTACTTGAACTGTTTAAGAATATAAAAAATACCCGGTACATTTTATTGTACTGAGTAAATTTCAAAATACCCGGGTACATCCATTTTTACTCGAATACATATACCAGAGTATTTTCATTGTTTTCGAATACATTTGCATTTATTGCGTAAAATTATTGGACTCTAAGTACATTTATTTGGCCACAGGAACATTTCCATACGAGACCTGTTTCCACAGAAATCACTTACCTTGCCAGGCAAGAAAACTGGCTGTTGGCGATTTGCACCAATCAAAAACGCTCTAACTGGTTTGTGATTTCTGTGAAATCTGTGGCTTCAATTTTCTGGCATTTCTTGTGTAGCGTACGGATGCGTAGCATTCGTTCCGTTATTCGTTGTGATTTGCAAACGAAAATCTTGAACTTTTCTGTGCACTAGAACGATGTGCCTGAGAACGTAAATTTGAAAAATCTGAGCCCTTATAAACTCTGGACTCTGGTTTACCCAACCAAACCGTGAAATTGCTGAACTGATTTATAGTAAACCAAAATGTGTTTTTTAATTTTTGATGTGTGAACATCTATACCGGCGCTTTGAGGGTAAATTCTGGGAAATGGAACGGAGTGTGAAAGGGGATGTGACGTAATAACCCATGCGCAGTGATTAGTGCGCAGTAACATCAGCGCTTGCGGCCTAAGGTGGTATTAGACTTTCATATCAATAATCAAGGGTGGTTCAAAAGAGAAGGTGCGTAACAACTTTAAGACGTCATTTGATATGCGGTGGCATTGTGTGGAATGTATTCATAAATGTACTAGGTACTTTGAGTATTTGGGTATTGAATACTTCTGAATGTACTCTGTACTCGAGTACATTTTGAGCAAAGTACCACGGTACCCGAGTAGATTTTGTCTGTACTAGAAACAGCTCCGATATCATATAAGGACACTGAACAAAATTAAAATCAAAAGTAAGTTTAGCAAATAGGTAGTACCGAGAGTAGTACTGGAACTATAAAGTAGGAAAGTAATCGGTACCTAAGAGAGGTGGCGAAAATACCTTTTGCACGGGGAGCCGAAATGTCTGGAGCCGGCCCTGGTTAGATGGTAAATGGCCAGCGGTGTATTGAAGGTGTTTATTTCCTTCAGCTGCTACCTATAAAATTGTGGAGGGGTCTATTCGCAAAAGAGAGAAACAAACTTAAACCATAATTTTAAATAAACAAATATCTTTCTATTCTGATAGCCACTTCTATTTTTCCCATCTCAAATTATTTCACATCCGTTCAAATTACATTATTACGGACCAGGAAATATCCATACAAAAAAAAAACGCCAGACTTCTACTATTCTTAATAACTTATAAGTTTATACATTACACTTTCAAACAACACTTATGATTCACATTCCTATTAAAACTACCCTTCACCTATATCTATAAATTCTTAAGTCCTTTTCTGACTGCTTATGCAAAATAATTATTTAAATCATAATCCGACTCACTGGATTAAGTATATAGGTATAACCAACTATATTTTTAGAAAATCTTACAATAATTTCTAAATGATTAAAACCATAATTCAAAATTTCAGCAATTAAGGTCATCAATGTTACAACATGAACAACAATTTTCAAACAAAACTTTTTATTAATTTAATCAGAACAATTACTATTTTTTGATTCCTAGCCAACAAACACAATTATTTAAATTCTTATTACTTCGTTACTATAGCCCTTAAACTTCAATTGGAAAATCCAATTCAAAATCCTTTAATAGTTCCTACTCAAAATCGAATATTGCTAAGAGCTTTATAATTTCCTCTTTTAATTCTTTGCAAAATTAATTAAAATATCATTATTCTCGAAGGCAATTAAATTTATGCAATAACGTTCCATAGTGAAAACACTCGAGTTATTAATATTTATGCAATAAAGTTTCAAAGTTAATTCACTTCGTAGTCATTCATCATTTATAAATTCAAAAAGTTTTACTAGTCACAAGAGTATTTACATTTAACTTTTCACACGTAAAATTACTTAATTTAATTTACTTCAAAAATCTCTAGAGCACGCACATAATGTTGAATGACTTTAAAGGTTCTTTCTTTCACAATTTTCCGTACTTTTCAAAGTTCAATTAAACGCGTTTTCCCGAGGCAAAAATAAAAGAAACTCTTCGCGAATTTTTATCCGGACTGTATACTTTAAACTCAAAACTGGACTGAACTAACAACTGGACTGAACTGATAACTGCTCCTCCACTTCTAAAACCGCTGTATTTATATGTTTCGTTCCCCCAAAAATTCTAAATTTCATCATTCAATAATCTTCTTTTATTTGTTTAAAATTGAATAATTATGTCGCAGTTTCTTGGTTTATCGGGGTCAACAGATTTGGTTTAAGAATGTGAGGACAACACAAAGAAAACTGACAAACACGTACGGGCCATAAATCACTTATTTAATTACTTTGACCTCGCTTTTAATAAGTTCATTGATTTGATTTAGGAGATGACATCACGCTTGGTGACTAAACAATAAAATTTTAACGTATATAAATATTTTAATTAATTTTGGGTCAACGCTAATTTGCTTCATTTTCAATATATCGATACTGATTTGAAATACCGGAAATTCAGTTTTTGATTATTTGATGACACGTAATTTTTACAGTAAAGACTGTAAAGACATTGTACTTTACGGTCTATTTTCCCGGGTCATTACACATGATTGGACTTTGTGATTTATTTAGATTATCAACGGACTTACTTGGAAATATTTGTTCAATAATTTCCTCGTTTTCCAAAGTTGATTCGCCAGCAATAGCAGAGACGTTTCCAGTAGTGTTATTGGACATTCTTTGATTATCCAATAAATTTTCTAGCATATATTGCATCTTGTTTAGTTTTTCATTGAAACTGTTTTCTAAAGCTTTTATTTCATCCTGATTCGAAGCAATTGAATGTCCTATGGATTTTAGCTTATCTTCTAGAAAAGTTCCGATATCCGCCGTGTCTTCCTTTTCTCGATGAGGCATAATTATTCTTGATAGGTTTATAAAACTACCGACTGCGCCATGTAATAATCAGAGTTATAACTAATATAGGTATTTTATTATCATTTTACAACTAACTTCAATCTAACATACACATCATAAATCTATTGTTGCGAAGTTATCTCCAAAGACATACATGATTTTTCAGGAATTTCGACTTATTCATTACGCAGGAGCAGTAACGTACAACGTAAAATCCTTCATAGAGAAAAACAACGATTTGCTATATAGAGATTTGAGAGAAGCAATGTGCAGCTCCTCTAACAGTATTCTACAATCGATCTTTACTGAATCAGAACAAAGAAGCAAAAAAATGCCCGAAACTGCAATCACTCAATTTAAAAATTCACTAAACAATCTGATGGTCATATTGAAGGACAAAGAACCATCGTATATTAGGTGTATCAAACCCAACGAATTCCAAAAATCAGGCGTTTTCGATGTGGAAATTGTGAAACATCAAGTCACTTATTTGGGACTGATGGAAAACTTGAGAGTGAGAAGGGCCGGTTTCGCATACAGGCGAACGTACGAGTTGTTCTTGAGGAGGTACAAAAGTTTGTGCAAAGACACTTGGCCGAATTACCGTGGAAGTGCCAAAGATGGTGTTCAACATTTGGTGTGTTCTTTAGGATATGAAGCTGAAGAATATCAAATGGGAAAGTAAGTAAGTTTAAGTCTGCCTTTATAAAAATCCTAATCATGTTTTTTTTTCTAGGACAAAAATCTTTATTAGACATCCTCAAACGCTCTTCCGTACCGAAGATGCTTTTCAAGTGAAAAAACACGATATTGCTTCAATCATCCAAGCCAATTGGAAGGGATTATTACAACGAAAACGTTATATAAAAATAAGAGAATCAGTGATTGTTTTACAAAAATACATCAGAAGATATTTAGCTAAAACGAATGCCAAGAGGAGGAGGCAGGCAGCCATGACAATAAGATCGTTAGTAATTAACTCAATAAATAATTATTACTAATTAGTTTTTTTTTTAAAGCTTTATTCGAGGATTTATCACTCGTAACGATCCACCAAACGAAGACAACCGAAAATTTATTTTAGCCACAAAAATCAACTGGATCCAGCGATTGGCTAAAAATCTTCCACAAAATATTTTAAACAGAACTTGGCCTCCGTATCCAGTAATTTGCCAAGACGCTTCCAATCAACTGGAAGTTATGTATGCTGCCAATCTCTCCAGAAGATACAGGTATATTTATATTTCATCGACTGTCTAGGTATATATTACAATCATTAATTGTTTCATTTATTTTTTAGATTGGCCCTAACACCAGAACGAAAACGTTTACTGGAGTTAAAGGTTTTGGCAGAAAAATTATTCAAAGGTATAATATTCATAAATTAATATTTTAATATAAAATTTTTTTTTTTCAGATAAGAAAAAGAGTTACTCGCTCAGCGTACCTCAAATATTCCAAGCTGATCGTGTCCCCGAACACGCTTTGGCCTTAAAAACTTCTTACTCTGGACAACTAAATGGAGACAAGGAAATGGTAATGACCATCATTTAGATAGAATTATGTTAGAATAATTATTGTACTTTTTTCAGTATGCTACATCAGTAATGAAATACGATCGTCACGGTTACAAACCAAGAGAACGAATTATGATTATTACTCAAAATAATCTTCACGTTTTGGAATGTAAAGGGTCCGTGAAGCAAAAACACGTATTGCCTTTGAAACGATTGAGTTTTGTGGTGACACATGAAAACGATCGATTAGTTTTGGTGAGGATTCCTGAAGATTTGCTTAAGAAAGACAAGGTAATTAACTAAAAATCCATTTAACAATTCAACAACTCTAAATTGATTTTAGGGTGATTTAATATTAGAGGTACCAAATTTGATTGAGGCTATAACAATGATTGTAGATATAACCAAGGATCCATCATTGCTTACCATTATTGATACAACAACGTAAGCTTTTTTTTTGTACTTTTAATCCCATACTATCTACCGGATTTTCTTTTAGGATTGAACATCACATGAATGGCAAAAATGGTACTATTGAGATTCAGCTAGGTACCCCGGAAAGAATTCACAAAGACAAAAGTGGACATTTGCTCATAGTGAGTTTTTGGAACCCATTTTTTTATACCCTAATAACTTTTTTATTTCAGGTTGTTTCACCCTAAATGCAAGGCAAATGGTAGCATATTTTTTTATTGCAAGATGTTTTATACATTAGGCTCTAATATGTATAAAGTCCCTATAATATTGACTGAGAAAGTATTATAAAGTAATTTTTATTAACACACGTTACGTGCCTTTTATATTTGTTTATCTAGAGCATTATATACAAATATTTATATAAGTGCCATTATGTGAAATTGATTATATAATTTTGTTTTAATTTTTTATTTCTATTTAAACTTATGTTTAAGTTTTAAAAATTAAACTTTTGATTAAATGTTTCTGTGTGTTGTGTGAACTTTAGTTTCATATTTTTTATAGATGAGTGTTATTATAACTATTGAATACTAAAGGACGTGGGGGTTCAGAAACATCATAGAAAACGAATTATGAAAAACAAAACAATTTGAACATTTTCAAATTATTAGGTAGTTGTTGTGAAACCGGCAGGAAGATGCGCTACAGAGCCCCAGAAGCACACAAAGTCTTTTTTAGGTCTGCATTACGTCTGAAACTCTGAGGACCAAAAAATGACGTCTAGAAGACGTCCATAAAATGTCGTAAATTCACTTCTTAAAGACAACTGAGCTATTTGGTTCAACTGGGCCTGAAAGTCAGTAATGGTTTATGTATTAAAAAGAGATTCAAAAACATCAAGACATCTTGTTGAAGACGTCTTTAGAATGTCTTGGAAAAATGGTATATAGACATTTATAATGGGCAGACGTTTGAAACACATTAGGCTTTTTAACATACGACGTCTTTAAGATGTCTTGAAACGTGAGCAGACATCAAAAAAACGTCTTGAATGTCGTTGTGGACACCTTAGGGACGTTTTTAAGATTTCTCCAAAAACTTCACACAGAACTAGTTTCTCATTCAATTTGGAAGTTACTGGAAACCATTTAAAATCCTACACTTCAGAATTTTTTAGGGCCGCTTTTACAAGTAGAGCCAGGGTTGCCAACTCTCCGGTTTTAACCCGGAGTCTCCGGATTTTAAAGGTAATTCTCCGGTTTCCGGAATACATGTATATTTCTCCGGGTAGAACTCGTAGGTGTTATATAAAAACCAAGATACGAATATTAAACATGTTTCCTGAAAAATTCATGCGAATTGAATGGCATGCCGACATGGTAACGTCGTGATAACACATTGTTACCTCAAATTGCGCAATATAAATTCTTTCGCGAATTAACCAAACACTGGCAAATACAGAGAGACAACGTAAAAAATTTCTGTTTTGATAGAAGATCTGTTTTCACCGAAATCACAAACCAGTCAGAGCAAATTTCATTGGTTGAAAATAATCAGAAAACTGGTTGTTGGCGATTTGCACCAATCAAAAACGCTCCGACTGGTTTCTGTGAGAGCAGACCTAGAAACACAGCTCATGGGATCATGGGAGGTGATTTGCGTCACATGGCAAAAAATAAGAAAATTTTATTGACTATTAGAACTGTCAAAAAAAGTTCTTTAACATTGTAGGTATACCTTGATTTTAATAAGTGTAATATGTTGTAACTGGAATGAAATGTTTAATTTTTGATTTTTTTATGTTTGTTTGGTATTGAAACAGCAAGTTTCATAGTTATTTATACACCAAGTGAGTTAAATGAATGTTTATTCATGAGAAGAAAGTTTAACCCACGAGCCTAGCGAGTGGGTTAATTTTCTTCGAATGAATAAATATTTTAACTCACGTGATGTAGGTATACAAAATTTTATCCCATTTTAGATAGATAGACATTCGAAAAATAAGGTACTTAATAGGAATCAAATTATAAAAAGAATTCATATAGCGAGCGCATATCAAATATAGAAACTGGTAGTTGCTAGGGTATAACTAGTTGTTTGTTTGTATTTGTAGCAGATTTTTATACTGGCAGAGTGACTTAAAGACCGAGAGTGAGTTAAAAATATTTTAAGTCACTCAGGTGATAAACGTCTACTTACCTTTGTTATTATGCGTTCAATAATGTCATTTTTAAACGTCAAAATGGGATAAGTTAACATATTTTTGGGAAACGTCAGTTTTATTTCAGTCGCGGAAAAATCTCCGGGTGAACCAATTTCAGGAGTTGGCAAACCTGCGTAGAGTTTAAACTCCAATCTTAAGTTTAACTACAGTTTTATAAAATTGACACTTTTACAACTTGGGGTAATCGTCAATCCTAAGTTTAAACTTTACCTGAGGTTGGGGGTTGGTTTAAACTACAATCCTAAGATAACCCTATTTTTGGGAAACAAATCAATGAATAAAGAGAGAATCCTTGTTGATTTTGACCAACTCCTTCAATAGAGTAATTTCTTGTTCCGAGAAATTTTAATTTCTTTTGTCCCTTCTTTATGGCATTAGCAATTATTCCAATTTTCCCCAACTTTACTGACAGACGTACCTAAAAGATATGGTATTTTATTTTGAACAATGGTTTAAACTTTTGGTTAAACCGCAGTTCAATCTGAAGTTTAAACTCTACTTGTAAAAGCGACCCTTAGTGCAAATCATAAAGGTGCAAATTATCACGTAATTCCAATCCGATTGGTTCAAATCAACAATCAAAACATGTCAGTTTATTGTTGGTATGTCAGTTTTGACAGATGTATGAAATTATAATTATTCGCCATCGTCCGAAGTATTCGGGCCGATGTAACGTAATATATATTTGCTATTGCAAATAATTCTCACAATAAGACAGTTCTTGCCTTCGAAAACAACTCCCAAAGTCGTTGCAGCCACTGTATTCAAAATCAATAATTACAATTTTGTGCTTACTAGTTACTATTTCGAATCTTTTAGTCCTATTGATATTCACAGAACCTTTTTAAATAGAAATACGCACCATTTTTTCAGCTTCAGCCGTAACGTGTTCACACCACGGAAAAAAAACGAATTTTCGGGACGAACTATACTTCCATGATTTCATGAACACAAACGCTTTCGCGTGAAACTCATGACGTCATGGTAATATTGAACGTAGTTCGACGGAGGCATGGACGGAGCTTCTAGCCAGCATTCAAACTCATGACGTCACAGATGAACTATTGTTCGTCCTTGGATGAACTACACTACAATCGCCGCGAAAATTCGGTTAAAGCGTACTGAAACCCGAAACACCGAAACACCCTCACTCTTAAATTTTCATTTTTCCCGTATTTTAAAATTTCAGGCTCTTGAATTGTTTTTTAAATTTATTCTCCTGGCTCTTCCATATCTTTTTCTTCCAAAATGAATTTTGTATAGGTATGTTTTCGTTCAAACGAAATCAAGAATTTGAGAGCCTATCGTTTGGAATAGACAAAAATTATATTACAAATACGTTGTTACATTTATACCGTACCGTTTACAAAAACTTATATGTTTTTAGAAGTTATAAAATGAGTAATAATAATGAAATATTAGTCCTCCTGAACGTGTCTTCAGGCAGACGTCTGAAAGACGTTGGGTTTTATAACATACGACATACGAGTCTCCAAGATGTCTTTCAAGACGCCTTGAAGACGAAAGCAGACGTTTAAAAGACGGCTTGAATATCGTTTGTGGACATCCTAGGGGCGTCTTTAGGATGTCTCTGTGCTATCTGGGAAAAAAAATTGTTCCAGGTAAAATACTTAAAATAGTTTTATAAATCGTATACCTATGGGGTACAACAAGGAGAATTTGTGCACAATCTTACAACACCGCATGGGGGTTCTCCTAGGGTTGCCAACCCTCCCGATTAAAGCCTAGTACCTACTCATAACTGCGAAATTCGCACTTTTTTGACATTGCTTCGAAAATTTGACGTTTGATTCACGCATAAAACGTCAATTTGTCAAAGCAATGTCAAAAAAGTGCGAATTTCGCAGTTATGAGTACTAGGCTTTAGGCGGGAGACTCCCGCTTTTTTGTCATGCCTCCCGCCGAAAAACATCGCAGCAAAAACTCCCGCTGTCTAAAAAAGCTCCCGCTAACTCCCGCTTTTTAACAATTTCGCATTTGACTAGAGAAAAATAATATTTTTGCAAACACGTACCGTTATTGTCTGGTAATGGGTAACTTGATGACGTCATCTAGGATGCCTTATAGAAATTTGCATTACGTTGAGGCCATTGGTTGAGGCACCCCAGATGACGTCATAAAACTTATCAGACAACCTAACCTTGTCATCTAGGTACCATCATCACCAAAAGTAACTGGGACAGCATCACATTAGCTCTTGTCCTATTATATGAATTTTATTGTCAAATATTTGTCAAATTATGCATTAAATGCATTGAAATGAATGACAGTAGAATTAGTCCAGGAGATTATTATGCATTATTTGTGTCCCAGTTACTTTTGGTGACGATGGTATCATCGATTAAGCATGCACTCCAAAGCCTTTTTATTTAAACCTACTACTGCTTCTTGCTCCAAGCAGATCTAATTATCTAGAAAGCTTTAGAGTAAGATGAATAAAGGTGTAATTAAAAGGAAAATAATTTCCGGGGTAATATCATAGGTGCTTTCCATTTTTCCGGAAAAATTGGAAAAAACGAGTTGGCAAGTAATTTTGTTTAATGTTTAAAGGGCCCCACACACTACGTTCTGTCTCGGCAGTTTTCATCGTCGCGATTAAAATAACGTCATGTTTAATCGTCAGCCTGTTTTCACCACACACTACGCGATTATTTGGCAGTTGGACCCACATACAACGGATTTGGAACGAAATGTTGAACCGCCGTGATAGAGAAACGACGGTTCTCTACCACAAACTTCGGTTTTAGATTCGTGCTTCATCGCGGCAATGAAAACCGTAGTAGTGTGTGAGGCCCTTAACAAAAAATTACAAAAGGCACATTCGACTGACAGGGTGTCTTAACGACTGTTTTGTGAAAATGTGGGCGTGGCACCCAAAAATTTTAACCTCCCGCTTTTCCATTTCAAAAACTTGGCAACCCTAGGTTCTCCAGGGTTCAATGGGGCGATTTCTAAGGGGCGATTTCACGTTCTCTCAACTCAACTCAATATGATGCCGTGGGAATAACACACCAGACAACCGTAAAAGCACGTTTACATTCAATTCCCATTCAAATTACAATCAATTAGAATTAAAGTGTAAAGGCACCTTCACGGTCGGCAAGTTTGTTATGCCCACGTCGCCATCTTGAGTTATCAGTTGATTCTACTCTATGGCTGATTTGAATTGCCTAATATCATTGAGGTAGAATAATTTTATATTATTATTCCACCCACCTCAATGCCAAATATAAGGTCTGTTTCTGTAGAAATCACAAACCGAATTTCATTGGGTAAAAACAGTCAGAAAACTAGTATCAACTTTCAACCAATGAAATTCACACTGACTGCGTTTGTGATTTCTGCAGAAACAGACCTATCAACGAAGTTTCAACCACAGAGGGTCCTAGTAGGCTTTAATCTAGTTTTCATGGAGCAGATTACCGTATTAAAGCGCGGAATTTTACAGTGATTTCCATTTGTAGAATCAGTGCAAAAAAAATATATCATCCTTATACAGGGTGTCCCACGGTGGATGGCGTATTAGACGTTTATGGAGCACTAAAAAGCGGATGATTTTGAAAATTTGGCAACCGGGATAAACGACCATGATCTACACTTTAAAAATATTTTTGACCATGCGGTGTTGCCGCTTCTACTCTAAACTAGTGGCAACATCGCTATTTTAAATGGAACACCCTGTATGTGATTGCATATTTGAATTCTACGTAAAATTCTGAGCAGATTTCATGTGATATACCCTATACCTAAGTTCAACTGTTTTGGAAATATTGACAGTTGAAAATTGACTTTTTGCAACTTTGACAGGCTGTAAAACCTGAACGGTTAATTTTAGAGGAAAACCGATTTTACATTCCTATCTTAGATTTTTATAAATTATCATTTGACACCAACTTTGAATTAAATCCATGATTAAAAATTCCAGTTAAATTTAATCTCCGGTTAAGTTCAAAGTTGGTGTCAAATGATAGTTTATAAAAATCTAAGATAGGAATGTAAAATCGGTTTTCCTCTAAAATTAACCGTTCAGGTTTTACAGCCTGTCAAAGTTGCAAACAGTCAATTTTCAACTGTCAATATTTCCGAAACAGTTGAACTTAGGTATAGGGTATATCACATGAAATCAGCTCAGAATTTTACGTAGAATTCAAATATGCAATCACATACAGGGTGTTCCATTTAAAATAGCGATGTTGCCACTAGTTTAGAGTAGAAGCGGCAACACCGCATGGTCAAAAATATTTTTAAAGTGTAGATCATGATCATTTATCCCGGTTGCCAAATTTTCAAAATCATCCGCTTTTTAGTTCTCCATAAACGTCTAATACGCCATCCATCGTGGGACACCCTGTATTTCACATGTTTTTAGAAAAAGATGCGGATACACTCAGTGCACACTAATCGACAAATGGTAATCGCTGATAAGCCTAGTCTAGTACTCATAAGCGCGAAATTCGCTCTTTTTTGACATTGCTTCGACAATTTGACGTTTGATTCACGCATAATGCCTCATTCTGACTTGCGCGAAATTCGCTCTTTTTGCGCGAAATTCGCTTTTTTTTTACATTACTCCGACAATTTGACGTTTGATACACGCATAAAACGTCAAACTGTCGAAGCAATGTCAAAAAAAGAGCGAGTTTCCGCGTAAAAGGAGCGAATTTCGCGCAAGTGAGAATGAGGCATAAAACGTCAAAGTGTCGAAGCAATTGTCAAAAAAGAGCGAATTTCGCTGTTATGAGTGTCCGAAATTTTAATAAACGAACGCGAATGAGCTTGCCCGAGTACACTTTTGAAATGAACGAACGCTAAATTCAAGCTCGGAGAACTCACGTCAAAATACCGAACGCACGGACAGTCGTTTATATTAGGTCTGTTTCTGCAGAAATCACAAACCACTTAGAGCGAATTTCATTGGTTGAAAACAGTCAGAAAACTAGTTTCAACCAATGAAATTCACTCTGACTGGTTTGTGATTTCTGCAGAAACAAACCTAATATAATTATTCCATGTGCACCGGATCTGCGAAAAGAAAGCGCCTTAAGCAAGCGCCATCTTGCGATTAATGCGATTCTTATTTTCAAAATATAAGTGTTTTTCTTTTTAAGTTTAATTTATTTGAATAAGCAACAACAAAATATCGCAAAATTTTATGGTATATGCCTTCTAAGAATATTTTTCTATAATGGAATCGTCGCCGGAAAAAACTTCCAGAAAGCACATGGACATCATTGAAAAAAAAATAAAAGTAAGTTAATTTATCTTATGTTTACGCTAGTAGGTATAGGATTTTTAATTGCTTATAGAAAACGCTACAAAATGGACTTAAAGAGAGTATTATAAATGAATATCTAGAAGTTATGAAAGAAGATTTATTAGTAGGACAACAGGACGATTTTTTTTTAAACTTAATTCAGCAAGATGAGCAAGATAACGTTGAACGTGATTTCTTAAGGAATAACTATGCAACTCTTTCGGGTACTTAACTAGTGACTAAAAGTTGCTTTCTTTCATAAATTTCAGCTTAACAGGTGGTTAACTATTTTTAGAAAATGTTGAATTAAACCGCCAAAAATTTGAATCACTAAAAGATTCTATAGATATCTTGTCCATGCAGTCGATTGCAGAAAAGGAAACGTTTAAAAGACAGCAGAATGATGGAGACAACAAAATTAAATTGATGTATCAAGGTGATATTAATAAAGTAAACCAACAGCTGGAAGAAATAAACAATGAGTATAATGAAATAGGTATATAGGAAATACAAATGTCCAAGCTATATCTAAAACAGAAAATTTCTTTTTTCATACTTGTATTATTGTAGAACAAGAACTTAGGAAACAGATTTCATTGGAGAACGCCACTAAAAATGCAAGAATTTACGAAATGAGAAGCAAGTTAGAAAGACAAATTATGGATAAACGAAACGATATTGTTCGACTAATCACTGAAGGAAACACTATAAAACAAGAGTTGGACAATCTAAAAGCACAACTGGTAAAATTAAATTTGATATTAGTAAATGTATAACATATTTTTTCCATTAGGAGCAAAACCGATATAAAAACACACATAAAAATATGATGTATTTTAATAAAAACTATGTAGATCAACAGTCAACTCTAAATAAACCTGTTCATAGTCATGCAAATTTTACCAAAAGTAATAATTCACAAGATAAACTTGAATATAACACTGACAAACAAAATCAGGTCGCAATTGCCAGTGAATATGATTTATTGGATAAGCATCAGCAAGTTCTAGAAAATAATCATTTGTTGGAAAAAGTAAACAACACTACATTTGGGAATATGGCCATCAATCAACACAAAAAAGACTTTCTTAATCCTGTTAGCCACACAAGCAATCTGAAACCTAATTCGTTTAGTTATACAACTAATACAGGTAAGATCAATATACGGGTTTCAAAAACCTCAAAAAGATTTCAGTGTTTATTATAAATATTATTTGGGATTGAATATTTTCAGATCCTGTCATTCAGGTTGAGTCAAAGGAACAATCTTCTTCAAAAACCAAAGATGACCACTCCATTTCTATGGATGAGATAGTCAGTAGTAATTCATCCCAAATAACACCAACTGCTCTTCCGCCAAGAAGAATACCAAAAGTCTATATTGGCACTACTAAAAAAGGACAGTTAGGCAAACTGAGAAAATGAAAAAATAAATTATATATAATCATATTGAACAATTATTTAACGAAGAGTTAACTAGATTTTTCAAGTAAAGTTTATAGTTTTTTAACATATCAGGATCTGGATTCTTATAATTTATATATTTTTGAAGCCTTTAATCATTCCTCCACGTAGTCTCCACTTCGTCTGTCCTATACCTTTGCGTTATGTAAGCATCTTCCCATTTCATTCTCGTACCAGACTGGAACATTTCATAACCTGCCTGAGCGATCATCACTCCATTATCAATGCAAAATCTTTCATCGGTTGCGAACAATTTGGCACCGCGTTCCTTGCACATTTCAGCCATCATTTCTTGCAGACGTAAGTTGCATCCTACACCACCAACTAAAGACAATAGGAAATGAAATGATTGATAAAATTATAAGTTTGGCATTTTAGGAATTACCTATTAAGACTTCACTGGAATTACAGTGAGCCAAGGCTCGTTCAGTGGTTTCAACTAACATGGCAAAAACAGTTTCTTGTAGTGAATAGCATAAGTCTTCTTGGGTGTAATCTTGTTTTAGCAAGGAAGTGGTTCTTTCTTCAAGATAAGTTAGGATTCCTTAAAAATGTTAGATTTTTCACTCTGTATTCATAGATTTGTTTGTTGTTTTACCTGAAAAACTAACATCCATTCCTTTAACAGAATATGGCAGAGCCACAAACTTTGTACCTTTTTTAGCCAACTGTTCAATGTTGTAGCCAGGACTGGGATCATTTGAAATTTTCAATACCCTGGCAAATCTATCTAGACAATTTCCTACAGCAATATCCAGTGCCTCTCCAAATATTCTGTACCTTTTTCTTGCATACGCAATAATTTGTGTATTTCCTCCACTCACATATAAGACTGTGGGATTTTGTGCACCAGTTATTAGTCTACCCATTTCAATATCTACATAAAAAATTAAGGAAAGGTCTTATAACCAGTAAAAATAATGTATTAATAGGTTTGAATAAAATTTGTGTTAAGGATACGTCCAATACAATGATTTACTCCCAGAAGTGGTTTGTTCCAAAGTTGGGCTACAGTTCTGGCAACTATGGCCACTGTAGCTAATGGAGCACCCATTCCAGGTCCTTTTGTATAGCAAATGACATCGATATCTGAGTGGGTCACCTATAAAAAAATTGTTTACAAACTTTATGTAACCTGGATTGAATATTAGTTTTCAAGACTAGAGATTAGTTAAAGACGAGGGGTCATTCACAACAAGATATCCCGTGTACACCCTGCAGTACAGCACAGCATACAACATTCTGGAAATCTTTGGAGATGGAGTCAGTCAAATTTTTATTATAATCTTTCTCATTACATTGTGTAATTTGTCACTGAAGCAAAGCATTTTCTGAGGTGTTTGCGGTTCCACTATAAATAAATAATTCCAATAGGTTACGGCCTAGGAGCAACGCCAAAATAACTTCAAAAATTGAGAGTACACGTAGTACAGAAAGATGGATGCAAAATTGAATCTTGACAAGTTAATGGAGTCTGCTGGAGGAAATGAAAAGTCTAACTATGTCGCATGGAGATTCAAACTAAATCTATTGCTTCGAATGAAAGGACTGTTTGAAATTGTTACTGGTGAAATACCTCAAACATTGAAGACAGACAAAAATTATGCAGCTTGGATTAAGAAGGACATAGAAGCTCAGATGATTTTTGGATTAAATGTCGACGAGAATATTGCTCTAAAAATTACGACTTGTTCAACATCAACCAAGATGATTGAAAGACTGGAAACATTGTATGGAAAGAAAAGTCAAAAATCTGTTGACATGGCACTACAATTTTTTGCGTACAAATATGATGAAACCAAAACAGCTGCTGAAAATTGTCTCGAAATCGATGAGCTGGCGCAAGAATTGAAAATTAATGGGAAGATATTAAAGACAGCTGGCTAATGCTCGAATTTTGAATTGTTTGCCAGAAAAAATTTGATCATTTTCATGCAGTGGCTGAAAGCGACAAAACACTCATAAATTTAAGGAATCGCTTGTGACAAGAAGAGATAAGACTACAAGAGCCGGAATCCGAGACAAAGCAATGCACTTGGAAAAATTGATAAGTCGAGCAAAAACAGCAAGGAAAAGAGAAACTTTGTTAAGAAGAATCAGCAAGGTTTCAACCCGAATAGAAATTCATCGGGTCAAGCAAAGGTAAAATGTTATACATGTGGTGGGTCTGGACATTTTAAACGTGATTGTCATAACAAACCACAGTAACAAACCGTGTCAGGAGTATTTGGATATTGTAAAAATAAATATGAACGTCACAATTGTCACGAAAAAGGGCATTTTTCGAATCATTGTCCGAAAAAGTCAAGTTATGAAGGTAACAAAGTGAAATCGTTTGTCTCAGTTGCATTATGGAATGTTATACCACAAGAGGTGTCAGGATTACCGGATAATACTTTTACCTGTCACAAAACGCGTTACGCAGCAACACCACGAATCCGAAGAAATAGTGGTGTTGCTGGTAACGCTTTGAGTGTCAGGTGAAAGTATTAGGTAATCCTGAAACATCGAGTGGTATTCAAAAGGTTATACAACGAACTAAACTTTAATACGCTGTACAATATTTCCATATGACACAAGAGGCTTGACAAGTGATAAGCCTTTTGAGATTATCGCGCTTGGTGGCAATATTTATAGCAAATTCTATTATAGAAAAAGTTTTGTTTCATCTCTTGCCACCAAGCGCGATAATCCCAGGAGGCTTATCGCTTATTAAAGCCTCTCGTGTCATATGGGAATAATGTACAGTGAGTTGTATAATCATCATCAGTATTGGAAGGATTATCAAATCACTATGAATTGGATAATGGACAGTGGTGCAACACATCATTTGACTTGGCTGTCAAATATACAAACCTTTATTGACAACACCAATTCCAGTTGAGATTTGAGATTCTACAAAAAATTGTTTTAAAGGAAGTTTTATTTGTTCCGGAGCTCTCGTTTAATCTATTCTCAGTCACAACAGTCTTGGATAAAGGTTATACACAATCAGCAACAGCAGAAAAGTCAGTAATTATGGAACAAGGAGACCCTGTATTAATAGCCAAGAGGACAGGTGGTTTATTTCACATGATGTTTCATGTAATGGAAGAGTATAGTTTGCCAGCAGTTAGCTTAAAAATGTGGAATAAACGGTTAGCACATCAAAATACTCGACATGTCAGAGATGTATCGAAGAAAAATGAAACAAGCTATATTGATGACTGGAAAGATTATGTCTGTAAAGGTTGTGTGTATGGGAAACAGCACAGAGTTTCTTATCCAACTTTTATCGATGATTTTTCGAATTTCTGTTGTATGTATCTTAAAGCAAAAAATGGAGTTTTTGAAAAATTTGAAGAGTATGTCAGTATGGTAGAGTCTAAATTTAATAATAGAATTATAAAACTAAGGTGTGATAATGGGGATGAATATGTGTCTAGGAGTTTTAAAGATTTTTGTGAGGAACGAAGTATAATTTTGGATTACACAGTACCATATACCCCACAGCAGAATGGAAAAGCAGAAAGGAAAAACAGAAGCTTAGTTGGAACAAGCAGAGCAATTATTCAGGATTCTAGGGTACCGAAGGAGTATTGGGGTAAATCGGTGAGAACTATAAATTATATAGGTACCTATTGAATAGAGGCACATCAGTTTCTTCCAATGGAATGACACCAACAGAAATATGGCATGGACAAAAACCAAACGTAAGTAATTTCAAAATTTTTGGTTGCTTACCGTATAGCCATATTTTAAAAGAATGTTGTGAAAAATTTGATTCTAAAGTTGAAATATGTGTAATGATTGGTTATGCAAATAATGGCTATAGGTTGTGGAGTTTCAAAAAACAAAAAGTTATTATTTGTAGAGATGGAATTTAATGAGAATGTTTTTCCATTAAAAAATAATGTTGTTGGTATGACTGATGATGATCTTAATGATAATAAAAATATAGAAAATATAGATTTTGATACTCTTGATGATAATATTTCTAAGATTTTAACTACTTCTAAAAATAATAGTGAAATTGAAGAAAGGAATGAGTTCCAAAACAGAATTTGTAGAGAAAATAAGTGTACTGTTAAAGTGCCATCCAAGTTTGATGATTATGAACTATACATGGCTTTTAATGCTTATAACTTTGTTGAAAATGTACTTAAGTAATAATTTTTAAGAAACCAGAAAATGTGCTATACTTGATACTAAATAAATGGGTTTTCACTTATAAAAGTTTAGAGAAAAATTAATGTGACAAATTTGAAGCTACAAGTACAAGAAAACTTGCGAGTCAATATCTACCACTGGTGGCTTTGTGTACTTCAGGTACTGATGGATTGTGACTGAGAAAGTTTTTCATTGATTCTTATGTTAACTTTGAATTAATAACTTTCTTCGGAGATAATCAGAGTTGTTTGGCAATAATTAGAAATCCTTCTAATAATCGTAGAGTCAAACATATTGGTTTAAAGTTTAATTTTGTGTCTGAAAATTTAAGAAAGGGTCTGATAAACTTAATTTATGTAGGAACAAATAATCAGCAAGCTGATATTTTAACAAAAGGTTTATCAGGGCCAACATTTCTAAAATTTTAAAATTTATTGGGTTTAGAGGATTTTAGCAAAAGGGGGTGTTGAAATATATGCTATTTTAATTGTAGTTTGATAGATGACAAAAAATGTATGGTATTGAAGTATGTAGAATTGTTTAATCCTCCCTTCATTCTCTGTATCAAATAAAAGTTAATTTGAAAAAGTATCTACTGCAGTTTAAATTATAGCAGAAAGTTGACCTCAATTGAGAAACACTACAAAACCGAAAGTGGGGGGCCAACATGAGCGAGCCTTTTCCCTCTATGTTGTAGTTTGCCAATTTTACTTGCACATCTTTCAACAAAACCGAAAATCCGAAAATAAATTATGAGTTGCTAGAGCCCTCTTCCAACTTGTTTTAATAGACGTGCAACAAATCTCTGGTGCTGTAGTAAGGTGATGGAGAAGGCAGAAAAATTGTATTTCATGAACATTTCTCTATGCCACTTGTAGTGTATCACCCTTGAATTTATGATGTTTATGTTTATACTATCTGCCTCTACTAGATCTGCCTTTAGGTAAAAGAAATGTAAGTATGTATGTACTGAATAAAGGTGACCAACAGAAGTCGGAGACGAGAACTGTGTTGTTTATTTAACCCGCTAGCTACAGGACTATTAGATAGTTCGGAGTGTCATTGAGGCAGTACATTACACCTCTACCCAAACTTCTATATCATTATTATGTGAAGCAGTCTATTTTACAATTATGTACGGTACAATATTATTGTTCAGGTGGAAGTTTATCATTTAAACATTTATAGATGAGGAAAAGGATCTTACTTTAGCTTGTTCCAACGCTAATTTCAAGACCTGCAAAACTTTTTGTCTGTGATGTTCAGCAGTTTCCTTGGGCATGAAACCTTCGCCTGGTGGAGAAATAAAAGTTTCTCTTGGATTTGACAAAACCACCCCATCTTTGATAACACCCACGCCTAATTTATTAGCACTTCCTTCAAATCCCAGAGCTATCACCATGATTAGATTTTTATTTTATAATTTGAATTTGAAATCAAAATCAAAACAAGAAAATTTAAAATGTTGAGGTTATGTTAACGTCTGTTTAGTGTTTACTCTCAAAGAGCGTTCTCCTTGCTTGGGAGTACTCTGAAGTCTGAAGGAACGGTCCCGAACCAAGAATTGGAGCTCCCGATCCGTGCCTAGATTCATTTATATCTACTCCGAGCCCGACCACAATACTGGAAACTGGAGTGGAGAACTGCATTTTCTTCAGATCTTCAGAATGATCACAAAGCTGGAGCCAGGTCTATTTAGCAGAACCCTTTTCAGAAGAGTTTGTTTTGTTTTCTCTATTCCACTGCTCTGCCCTGATTCCTCCAAGCTCTGTCTATGCCCTGCTCCGAGTTCATCATAATGAAAAACACGACTGGTTGGTATTTTTAAGCACAAGCACATCATCAACCTAAAAAAAGTAATAAAATTGTAATCAACAATCAAACAAAACTAATAAAAATGTAAATACTTTTTATCTTAAAACAATGATGTTCATTAGCTCAAGCAATTACAGTGAAATGTTGATAAAAAGTTGATGACTATTTGTGCAAGTAGGCCAGGATGGCTCGCCACATAGAACTGGCAATTTGTTCCATAATACTAATATCGACATTATTATTATACATTATTAATGTGCTGTTTTTAAGTTTGGACATTGTGCAAAATCCTCCAGAGAGTTCGGCGTGGGTTTTTCATGGAATACGCAACATCTTGGGCTATTCGACTGTGTTTCTGCCTGGCTATTTGATCTATAAATATGTGAAGACAACAAACTATTTAAATATTAGTGGCCGAGGACCTTTAGGTGCAGTTATAAGGACTTGTTTCGGTGAAGAAGAGTTGTTAGTAACATCAAACGTGATCCACGATTCCAAAGCAAGCAGGTCCCCAACAGAAAATGGATTTTTGTTATTATTTTATTTTCTTGGTCTACAAATATCATACTTGTCCTGGGGTGTATTACAGGAAAAAGTTATGACACAAAAATATGTATCTTCTGAAGGAGAAGTGGATTATTTTAAGGATTCTCAATTTTTAGTATTTGTTAATAGGGTATTAGCATTTGCTATGTCAGCTTTAGTAATATTTTGTAGTAGACAACCTAGACATAAATGTCCATTGTATAAATATGTTTTCTGTTCATTTTCTAATATAATGAGCTCTTGGTGTCAATATGAAGCATTAAAATATGTATCGTTTCCACATCAAGTGCTCGCTAAGGCCAGCAAAACTATTCCAGTAATGATAATGGGAAAAATAGTCTCAAAAACAAAATATGAATTTTACGAATATTTAACAGCATTTATTTTATCCATTGGAATGTTGTTTTTTATGTTAGATACTGGTAATGATAGATCTAATAATAATAATGTAACCACTTTTAGTGGTGTAATACTTTTATGCTCCTATATAGTTTTTGATAGTTTCACTTCCAATTGGCAAGGCAAACTATTCAATACTTACGAAATGAAACCCATTCAAATGATGTGTTTTGTCAACTTCTTTTCATTTATTTTTACTTTAGTCTCATTATTACAACATGGAGGTTTACTCAACTCAATTAGATTTATGTTCTCTTATCCTCAATTTATTGTAGACATTACTGTACTATCAATATGCTCTGCCTCCGGCCAAATGTTTATTTTTAATACCATCGAAACATTTGGTCCATTAGTTTTTGTTATTATAAGTACAATTCGACAATGTTTCTCAGTTCTTTTAAGTTGCATAATTTACCACCATAACGTAAATATTTTGGGTGGAGTAGGTCTGTTTCTTGTGTTCTTTAGTATGCTACTGAAAATTTATTGCAGTTATAGGATTAAGAAAATTAAACAGCAAAATGCCCTTTTATTGAAAAGTTAATCCTGTTCTTGTGAATATTTTAAATGTAAATGTTAGTCCCTTATTGTGATAAATAAATGTTTCTGAGCTTAAAATGTAAAGTATGTACATATTTGTGTATGTATTTAATTGAATAAATTATTTGTATATTATGAATACCCATATGTCATTTATATCTACACTCTACACCTGTGAATTCAGTCAAATTTTAAACATCCTTTGACATTTTTAGAAATTTGGTCAACAAACAAAAAGTTCACAAAATAATGTTTGTAGGAGATGCTTAGGTACCTTGGATGTAAATTAGCCGGTTTTCTTTTTTTTCAACCTCTTCACAAATCACCCGTTGAATGAAGTACTCGATGAAGTAGGTACTCTACAGTCTACAACTAAAGTAGGTATTACCTAGTTTGTTTCAAGAATGAAAAAAAATTATCCGGGTTTCGTTCAAAGAACCAATCCTTCAGAAGCCCGATCCTCGGGCCAGGGAGAAGAGCTCCCCGATAGAACGAATGTTTTGTCTTTGTCAACGCAATCGAAAAGTAAATGAGAATGATAAAGACGAAAAATTTGTTCTCTCGAGGAGCTCGACTCCCTGGCTCGAGGATCGGCCCGCAGATGAGCAAAACCAACGGATTAACAGAAGTAAAAAAGCAATGATGGAAAAAATTCTTGACATCCACATAATGACCTCCTCAGTGGTGCATATATCCTATCAAATTTTTTCTCTTCCATTATCATCTCTAAGTATGTACCAAAGAGAAGAACTAATAACAAATATCCTCCATGGTATGCTCCGTAAATACAAAAAAACTGATACAACAAAAATATCGAGAAAAATATATACTCCATCAAAAATAGAAAAAATACAATAATCCTGTTGACTATGTTAATTTTTCGGATTTTGGAAGGAGAGTTAGAGCAGCCATAGGAAATGATTACAGAAATTTCATAAAGAATACTGAAAAGAATCTCAAGACTAACACAAAATCTTTTTGGAGCTTTGTTAATAACAAAAGAAGCACAAAATCAATTCCTAAATTTATTACATATCAAAATATGTCTTATAATACGAATGAAGCGATTTGTGAAGCATTTTCAGAGTTTTTCTCTGCTAGCACTCCATCAAATATATTGCCAATAAACTCTATTGCAGAGGAACAAATTAGAGACCAGCTTACAAAGTTAGATATAAATAAGGGTCCACGTCCTGATAGTCTGCCGCCGATTTTGCTCAAGTCTTGCGCAGAATCTTTGATATTGCCACTGCACATAATTTTTAACAAAAGTTTAACCGGAGGGCACTTTCCAAGCATTTGGAAATGTGCCAAGATAACACCGGTTCATAAAGGTGGTAGTAAGGGTAAGACTGACGTTTCTAACTACCGGCCGATTTCGATTCTGTCCATTCCCAGTAAAATGTGGGAAGCAATTATAACAGAGTATTTATTTTTCAAACTCAAGCATGTTATTGGGGATACACAGCATGGTTTTCATAAAGGTAGATCGGGGTTTCTAATTTACTGCCAGTCGTTCAGGATGCATCTGAGGCATTGGATAAGAGAATGCAAATTGACGCCGTGTACACTGATTTTTCTAAAGCATTCGATAAAATCCATCATCCTACGTTACCTGTGAAATTGAGGAATATCGGTTTGCTCGGTTGTTTTTACAAATTTCTACAATCCTATATTAGTTCCAGAAACCAGATTGTGGAATTGGACGGGGTAAAGTTCAAATCTATTGATATTACTTCCGGAATACCCCAGAGATCTTCCCTGGGACCTCTGCTTTTTTCGCTGTTTATTGCTGATGCACGTGAATGTTTTATTTTTTCAAAATTTTTGTCTTACGCAGATGATCAAAAATTTTATGCAGTGGTTAGATCCATCGAGGATTGCTAAAGCTAGGTTCCAGGAAGACTTGGATCGCTTTTATTATTATTGTGTACTTAATCAACTCAACTCTCCTTGAATGTGGATAAGTGCTATTATGTAAAGTTTTCTAAGCTTAGAAATGAAATTGAATTTGCATACACATTTAATGGAGTAACTAGATATAAAAAAGGTAGAATTTATCAGTAGATAGATCGTGTGACGATTGACTCTAAACTTTGTTTCGATATTCATATAGAAAATGTAGTCAAAAAAGCATACAACAATTTTAGGGTTTATTTTACGAGTGAGTAAAGAGTTCCAAGATTCAAAGTCATTAATTCTGCTATTCAATTCCCACCACGTGCGATCCCATCTTGAATTTGCTAGCGTACCTATAGTATGGAACTTAGATTATATATAGGCTCACACTAAGGTATGGAACCCCCAATATGATATAAGTAGGTATGTCAATATTGTCAATCGTGTTGAAATAATTCAGACCAAGTTTATTTTTCATCTAAATTAATGCTTCGTATGAGACAAGCCTAAATCACTACAAAATGTTGCAGTTATATCTTCGCGAAGAATCGTCTCCAGTGGATTATTTTTACGGACAAAAATATTAGGCCATTCGACGCGTCGGACACGCTAATATGTCAAATTTATGGGATTTTTTTTTTATTACCACACGGCCGATCTGAACAGAATCTGCCATAAAAATCTTTTACAATAATGTGGTAACCTTGTCGGACAATTTTCACGGGGCATATGCGCAGTTGGATGCGCCAAAGATGTCAATTTCCTGCAACACTTTTATTTACAACCTTTTTTCCGACAAAAATAGAAGGGTCTAAGTAATTATATTCGAAATCAAAAAATCTAAGTGTCCGACAAAAATATTGGGGCCAAATCGACAGTCGGACAAAAAATGTAATTTTTATTGGTAGGTAATCAATATTCCTAAACTATACAGGGTTCGGGCATCCCTTATTTTAGCAACCATTGAACCATTTTTCCGACAAAAGTAGAAGGTTACAAGTAATTATATTCTCAAATGAAGAATGTAACTGTCTGACAAAAATGTTGGTCTTTTTCTGCTACGTAGCTCGACTATTCACCCTAAAAATCAGAACGGGAAGGGAAAGGGAACACCAGATAATAACGCTAGATAAATATAATATATTTTATGTCATACCAGTACATTATTGTGTTTTTATACCTTAGATACCATCTATATAATTCATTACTTTATGCCCGTGCGGGCATAAAGTACACATTATGGCCCGCGCGGGCATAAAGTACACATTATGGCCCGCGCAGGCATGACATAAAAGTTTGTATGCACCACGGGTACTAATAGATATATACCCTCGGGCAACTTACGAACCCTCGGGCCAGAGGCCCTCGGCTTTGTAAGACTGTCGCCCTCGGGGCATAATCATCTACTTAGTACCCTTGATACATAAATAACTATAATGTTATAGGGCAGCGATTACATTTAGAGTAAAGAACACAAGTATTACCATATTGTTATCATCCCGAGCCAGCACCTCCCTTCGGGCTGAAAAGGGTACCTATAAAGGCACCTGAGCGAATCCGTCGGGTATAAGCCAAGCCCAAGCTTGATCTTCGTGGTCAGCAGTTGCTAAGAAAACCAAACCAACACCACAATAGCATCTATATAGGAAGCCTGTACTGCAGAGCAGAGTCTGGGTCGTCAGATGAAATCTGCTCGGACAGAGTTACGATACGCAATAATATCCCTATTCGGCCAGATAGCTCCCGACTTTGAGGCGTATCTAAACGCCTAATGATACAGAAAAGCGCTGAGACACGACTCACAGAGTCTGGGTCGTCAGATGAAATCTGCTCAAACAGAGATACGATACGCAATCCCTATTCGGTCAGATAGCTCCCGACTTTGAGACGTGTCTAAACACCTACTGATACAGAAAAGGGCTGAGACATGGCCTGATTTGCCATAGTGTGGCCCGTGGCTTTTATATCCAATATTTGCTGACTATAATTAGGTTTAATTAGTCTGGTTGTGTTTTCTTGCTTAGTTGCAGTTATTTGTTTTAAGCCCGTGGTCCCATGTAGGGTTGACACATGCCCCTCCCGAGGAAGGCATTGGCCCCACAATGCCCGAGGAGACATATCTGGCTTTGTGCGTGTCCATTCTTCCTTGGTTTCAAACACTAGACCAGTGTCTGAGGTTTGCTTCTACTTGCGTTGGCGATTCTCTGGGTTTTGGTGGTTCCAAGGCTAGTGGTTTGCCTGGATCACTCTTGTAGATGTTCTGGATTTGCTTTCATGTCAGTGGTCTCCTGGAAGCATCAACATAAACAGGACCAGGTAGCCATTTATCTAGTATTTATGACGTAAATTCAAGGAAAGAAGTGCCATGCATACATGAGGATAGATGTGGGAAGTCACGATGGCCGAGCGGTCTTAAAGCGTTACGTTCAGGTCGCAGTCCACTTAGACCAGGCATTATAGTGATGTTAGACAAGAGAAAAGATTGAGTCATTATGGATGAGTGGAAATATAGCCGGCAGAAGAGGATGTGGTGTGGTGCGTCTTGATAGTCAGATCAGGATGATCTAATTTAGAAGGGAGGTTACGTAAATGCATTGATATCGCGTCGCCGGGATTCCAAGAAATTAAGTCAGTCACTTGTTCATGTCAGGCAGTGTGCTTTTTTCTAGAATTCTATTATATTCGATTCGATGTTTTTCTGGCTTAATTCCGAGTGCAATTTCGGTTATATAAATAAAGCGTGAAAATATTTTATGCACGAACGGGCGTAAAAGTGCTCTTTTACGCCCGCATTTTAAAGCGTGAAGTAGTACTTTTACGCCCTAGGGCGCCTTTTAGGCCCGCGGGCCTGAAAGTTCTAAAATTTCAAAAATAAGCAAGAGTTCGACTCAATTTTTCAAACTTTTTGCATTTCTATTGCTTAGTCCAAATATACCAACTTTGTTTAACAAAACAAGCTTTATTTCAATGAATAAGAATAATGGAATAAGCAATAATAATAAAATTCAATCTACTTTTCTTTCGAATTGAAATTGCCTTCAACATTGAGTAACAGTTCCATAGGGTGGATGGCTTTTTTGATGGCATTTTTCATTAATGTATAAGCCAGGAGAACAGTTTCTTCTACAAAGTACTGCTGCTCATTGACACCATGTTGGGCACACCAGGAAATAAAGTCCTTATATATGTTTTCATAGAGTATCTTGAACTTTGAAGGTAATAGATCTTCGTTGGCCTCTTCAACTGTCTCAAGAATAAACTTGGGGAGGC